GATCCTGCTCCACAGACCTACAACGGTATTTCCATTTTTTTGGATTAATATTCACTTTTGTTTTATTTTTTTTAAAGATTGACCATGAGAGCAATGGAGGTCTTATTCAGAAGTTGCCATCCATCCTTGAAGATGATGAATTTGAAGATGATGAGAAATGTCCCTTACCAGTGAGTCCAAGGGGTGTCAGTCCTGTAGATTCCTCTTTAAAGCTGCCTAAAGCCTACAGTTCTCCAATGCTATCTCCACTGACACCACGATCTTTCAAAACACCCACCAAGAGGGTAGACAAGAGCTTTGGCGATCTCCTCAGTACAGGGGGAAAAAGGAAAGTTCCCAGCAGGTGATGGAGGAAGACCTTGTAAGCTCCAGCTTCCTGCATTCAGTATCAATGTTCCACCAGTGCTCAGCCCGAGGTAAGTGAAGTCAAGCTGAGACAGGCAATCAGAGTTGAGATAGGCAACTACTCCCAAAATGCAAGGTGTTATATGGCAATTCATAGATCTCAGAGCCTCTGAGGTTTTAAAGAGCAGAAAAAAGTTGCTTACTAAGTAGCCTGTTAGTGGTACAATGACTGTGAATAACACGTACAGTATACACTGTGCATAGACTCTATTGAAATGCATCCCTTTAAACCATGCCCAGTATTCAGCTGTATGTAGCCACACCCACTATTTGCCACAGCCAGCTGTGTGTACCACATTATAAATTATCTAGGATGTCCATCTTTATGTAAACCAAAATAAAGTTTGCTGCTCTTTTAAATGCCAATCAGATATATGATGATAAAGGCAAAATAAACACACCAAAAGTGCAACACAGAATGTCCCAGTCACATAGTACACATAAAAAAACAAAAATATCTTCGGTGCCATCAGATAATAGCCAGGTGTATATGTAAGAAAAAGTGCTTCACAGCTGCTTCACGAAGAGTTAACACCAGCGCCTTACTACATGGGATGATCTCAAAAGGAGATCGTACAGCACCTTGCTGCTTTGCAGCCAGAAATCTCCAAGCCATCGCAATTCAGAAATGGTTCCTGGGTGTATACACTGGGCAGAAAAAATAAACACAGAGGGGGACTCTAATAGTGGAATATGTAAAAACAGCTTCAGTTTATTAAAAGCAAATACACTTGCATTGTCCCTTAAAGTGATCGCGTGTCTCCCAATGTGCGCAATGACGTCACGTGTTCGGCCCCACCGGCGCGTTTTCTCTCTAAATTTGGGGGATATGGTAATACATTCACTGACATCGATGTTGTGTGTTATTTTTACAGTTACTGACACCATTGTTGGGGGTTATTATTGCAGACACTGATTGATGTTGAGGGTTATTATTGCAGAGTCTACTCTATTGCACCAGTTTACTTACAGCAGTTATTTTCTTGATTAAGAATGTGAAGCAGACAGTTTTTTTTTATATATATATATATATATATATTATATATATATATATATATATGGTACTCTCAATTTCTTAAAGACATTTTATTAAAAAAACACTTTGTTTAAAAGGTTGCTGTGACGGAACGCCTGGCACCCAGCATGTGCCTTCCGTCAGAGAACCGCTTCCACGCCACTGGGACACAGGTCCAAGGTATTATAGCTGGTCATTGCACCCAAGACTAGGCAACACTAGCTTGATGCATCTGGTCTAATCTCATCATGTAGGAGCCTCCAAGAGGACTTGCCAACAGACCCACAATAGGTGACTCAATTAACAATGGGAATGCACACCTAGGAGGCACACAATGGGATAACATAGTAAACACATAACACCTTAAACACATTACAGCAAAAACCTTCAGACCAGGTCATTTTGCTAATTGCATCAACATTTTCTTAGAGTCTCTGAGTCTGGGAAGGAGGGGGTTGAAGCAGTCAATGCTAGTTTGGGCACAGAGACCCCAAATCTGTATGTTGGTCCTCCAGTTCTCAGAGTTTGTGTGTTTTGGGGAGACATAGACTTGAATCCCAAGTAAACTATTCCAAAGGTCCCCCCAGGCACACATTAAAGAATAGAGCCCCTTCAGATGCTTGAGCCATGGTCAGTAGGCAAGAGGCTAGCCTGCAGTCCCCTCCAAAAGCCCCTTTCCCGGTTGGGTCTGTCACAGTTGCCTACCCCTGACAAAGGATGATTGACTGTCTGCTAAAGGATAAACGTTTCCTGGGTTGGACAGGGGGAATGCTTGGGATGTCTGTCAATGTCACAACAAAATATCCTCATGATAATATAACGATATGAATCACAGTAGAGCGGATTACACATTATGAACAAGCATCTACCTCAAATAAAGAAGTCTAATCCTGCATAAACGCTGACTAAGCGCAGATCAATTCAAAATCCCCATCACTTATTATAATATGAACTGATTTGCATATCTTGGAGGATGTTGACACATTCTGAAAATATGTTCTTTATAAAATAAAATGGGTATCAGCACTACAAGAAACATTGAAATTACAAACACCTTGAAAGAATATAAATTCATTGAAGCCAATAAATTGTTAATATTTCAGAATCTGTGGAGCAGAAAGAAAATGATTGTGTTAGGAGAACAGCATGAGGTTGTAAAATAATGTTTTCCTATATGTACTATACAGAATATAAAGCAACATAATGCATGAAAATATTGCCATGGCAGAAAGAGAAGAACATGGAATACATGGAATTCTTCTATATACTTCAGCTTTCTGTGCTGCCTCCAAAGTGGACCATGTAATCCAGTACTCCTTTAATATCCTGGCTCATTCACCACCTCCAGAGTAAGTCAATTCTGCTCCATTAGGAAAATAAATCCTCAGGCATGGTTCAAGAAACAAAGGGGAGATAGTGCCATAATGTAGTATTTTGTATTGAAAAAACTCTAATACCAATAATGCACTCTCATGAATACAAGTGAAAAGGTGCATTTAGACTTGGAAGTGGTGCCTTAGCATACACTCCATGGAAGTGACATCACTGGATGCCCCACCTAACATTTTTGCCCCAGTGAATGGTCATGCTCAGAAGCCAGAATATTAAAGGAGTGCTAGAATATATGTGTCAGGGCAGGAGCGGTGGAATGGGCAGGCAGGCCTAATGGCAACAGCCGCTACTCACAGACCAGAGTCCCTCAGGGCGTGGAGTCTAAGCCCCAGGCTGCCCTTCACCAGGGCCCCTGATGGTGGGGATGGACTTGACGTAGCCTGAGACCAGGTCGCGGCCCCCCGAGTAACCCCAGCTGTGGTAACGACTGCCGCCAATGGCGTACAGCTGGTGGGAGCCAGATGGAAAACGTATAGCGTGGTCTGACAGGCTGGGTCGATAACAACGGAGCAAACAGTACAAGATGGTAGACAAGAATACTCAGGTCACGGGCCGGTTTCAGCAATGGGAGGTCAGGTAATGGGATAAAGCAGAGAATAGTCTTGTCCAAGCCGAGTCGGTTACCAGGAGAGCAATGAGAACAGAACAAGAGCTTGCCGCAAAGGAACATACAGGGCACGAATGCAAAGAGCAACTGCAGACAGCAGGCTTAAATGTGATCAGCCACACCCTTCTGGAGGAGGAGCCACAGAGGCCTGAAAGCATAAAGGCTCCCACCATGCTTTGCAGGAACTTAAGATGGATGCCAGCACATGGAGCAACACAATCTCTGAGGAAAGGTAGGACCCTGACAATATGGTCCTCTCTGGAGGCACCAAGGAGAGCTGGAGTATATAGAAGAATTCGGGAAGGGAGATATCTACTAGCACAATATGCAGTATAGCAGAGAATCATATATCTCTGGTGAGTGCAGGAGCACGAAAAGGAGGGCGTACAGAGTGAGCATCACTGTCACTGTGGATGAACATTCTCATTTTTACTTTTGTTGATACCTATATTTGGTGAACATTAATAACTAGAGTGCATGTGAAGCTGAGGACCAAGAGATCCTATTTATATACAATTCTTTTGTAATTTTATTGTTATCGTCACTGTTAATTCTTTATTGTCATTATCAATGCTTATTGAGTCTTTAGTCACAGGATAAAGGGGGAAAGTACTGTGGAGGAAAGTTACACAAATGTTAAGGGAGCTTATAGCGACCCCTGAACAGTGGCAGTCCACATAATTCACATTTCATGTTTTTTTTATTTAGGGGATGTATACATTTGTGGCAGATATAGACTCTCAGGATAGCTGTCTACCTGTACCTGTACATAGTTGCCAACATTACAAAAAACATTTTAGGGACACAAAAATGTTCCTGTATGTCTAGAAAGGCAGTGTAGGTGGAGTAGTATGTTAATTAGAGGAGGGGCTTAAATGCTAAATATTGGGCGTGACTTAACAGGAGTATGGTTCAACAGAGTCTGAGATTTTCTTGGGCTCCCCCATGCAATTTTGCTATCTAGTGTCTCCACCCCAACATCCTAAAAAAAAAAAAACGAATAAATACCATAGACATATCTAAAAAAAACTTTAATAATGTAAACATAAAGAACTGGTCCACTCTCACTGATTGGTTTCTAGACGCTACAGCACATTATTACCGCTCACTGATTGGTTTCTAGAGGTTATTGCAGTTAGTACTGGAGATGGTCAGAGACTGCATGCCTAGTACAGGAGATGGTCGGAGACTGCAGGCCTAGTACAGGAGATGGTCAGAGACTACAGGAGTAGTACAGGAGAAGGTCAGAGACTACAGGAGTAGTACAGGAGATGGTCAGAGACTGCAGAAATAGTACAGAGGAGGATCAGAGACTGCAGGCATAGTATATGAGTTGGTCAGAGATTGCAGGCATAGTATAAGAGTTGGTCAGAGACTGCAAGCACAGTAGAGGAATTGGTCAGAGACTGCAGGTGTAGTACAGGAGTTGGTCAGAGACTGCATGAGTAGTACAGGAGAGGGTCAAAGACTGCAGGTATGGTACAGGAGAGGGTCAGAGACTGCAGGCATACTACAGGAGTTGGTCAGAGACTTCAGGTGTAGCACAGGTGATTGTCAGAGACTGCAGGTATCATACAGGAGAGGGTCAGAGACTACAGACATAGCACAGGAGATGGTCAGAGACTGCAGGCATAGTACAGGAGATGGTCAGAGACTGCAGGCGTAGTACAGGAGATGGTCAGAGACTGCAGGAGTAGTACAGGAGAGGGTCAGAGACTGCAGGTGTGTGGCACAGGAGATGGTCAGAGACTGCAGGAGTAGTACAGGAGAGGATCAGAGACTGCAGGCCTAGTACTGGACATGGTAAGAGACTGCATGCCTACTACAGGAGATGGTCAGAGACTGCAGGCCTAGTACAGGAGATGTCAAAGACTGCATGAGTAGTACAGGAGAGGGTTAAAGACTGCAGATGTGACACAGAAGATGGTCAGAGACTGCAGGAGTAGTACAGGAGAGGGTCAGAGACTGCAGGAGTAGTGCAGCAGAGAGGGTTTGAGACTGCAGGCGTACTACAAGACTGTGTCAGAGACTGAAGTCATTGTACAGGAGTGGGTCAGAGACTGCAGGCGTAGTACAGGAGATGGTCAGAGACTGCAGACATGCTACAGGAGAAGGTCAGAGAATGCAGGCCTAGTACTGGACATGGTAAGAGACTGCATGCCTAGTACAGGAGATGGTCAGAGACTCCATATCTCTGCGTATCCCCATAGAGGCCACCCACCGCCACTCACCCCCCCCCAAAAAAAAAAAAAAAAACAAAAAAAAAGAAAGGACATCAGCCATCTACCTGTCTCCTCTGCTGGCTTTGAGCACCCCAGCTCCTCATTCCTCATTTTTTTTCATTCAACTTTATTACCATCACCCGTATTAGGGTAAAAAACTATTTGACTTTAGAACCACTTTAAATCTACATGGAATACAATTAAGATCTGGACTTGTCATATATAAGGATTCTGAATTATTAAACATATGAGAGTAATGTTACATCAATATATTTATATAGGATTTTTTGGTATATATATATATATATATATATATATATATATATACACAGTATATTGGTATGTATACTGGATGTCACTATTTGGTGGTTGGAAGGGTTTTTTTTAATCAAAAGTGCAGCATTTGTGATTTAAAATTTTACATGTGTATCAAGAGGGTTTGGCATTATTCAATGTACCAGCTGGGGATTTGCTAATTACATGTTACTGCTTTCAGTGGGAAGAAGTGTTTTAGCACAGAAAGTTTTATATAATTGTTACGAGTCTGGATTAGTACTTTCTCATAATGCTTGGTTAAAGGTCTTTCAACTTTTCCAGGGCATCTGCTTTTGCCTTTTCCATTTGGAGAATCTTTATTTGGGTTTTAACTTGAGCTTCCATCTCTGCCTTTTTCATTTCCATCTGAGCATCTGTCTGAGCCTGTTTTCTAGCACAAGTTTCAAACTTTTGATTCCATATTTGCATGGACCTCTATTGCATACCTCTCAACCGTCCCAGAATGTGCAAAATCTACAGTGTCTGCACCCAGTGTCCCCCACTGTTCTAATTTTCACCCGCTTTTTGTGTCACCCATAACACACAGTTCCCTTGTGTGCCCCTCCCTCATTGCTGGCTTTCCTCCTCTCCCCCCCACTGGCTGCAGCTGCTGTGGGGCACAGGAGGCTCTTGTCCAAGATGAAAAGAAGGTGGGGTGCAGTAAATATTATATATTTACCGGCTTCTTCCTTTCCTGAATGAACACGGTAATGGGTACCGATTGCTCCTGTGTTCATTCATAGCTGAAGCATAGTAAACGGCATTTACTATGCTTCAGTTGATAATTGAACAAGAATCCGCTCAGCACAGAGCCCTCCCATTCATTCACTGTCTGTGGCTAGCTACATTACTAACAGGTTTAAATACACTAACAAATTGAAGCCAAACTCCAGCTCACACTTTATAATAAGTTACAGCAACATTTTTTTTCCTTTTTGGATAAAGGAATAAATAAAAGCTGGTTAGTGTAAGTACTTCTGTCAGTGTTAAATGGTTTGTATCAACCCTATAAATGGATACATCTGGAAGAGAGTTACTGGCTGGATCACTAGATGAAAATAGAAGAAAGAAACCTTAAAAATAAAACAAATGCAGCCATCACATATAAGAATTGGTAAGCTGTAATATAGGAAATGTTTGCTTTTGGGTTTATTATCGCTTTAAATCCTCTTTGCCTGGCCTAAATGGAACAGATGCAATCACTGCAGACTGTCTTCATCAGATAGCTAAACTCGCAATATACTTTGGATCCTTAAACACCTTTATTTCATGCAGAAGGCAAACAATATGACAATTTAATTATCGGAATCGGAATTTAGCATGGTGATGGTGATGATTCACACAGCCATTCGTACTTCAGCGTGTTCTGACATGTTCTAACTTGCACTCTCTTGGGTTGCAGACCAGTTAATTCAGTCTTAATGGAATAGTAGAAGAAATAAAACGTTTATGCGTTGGGCTGTTGGCGGAAAATGAGTGACGTTAATCCACTGGTCCAGATTCCTGTCAAATATTGCATGAAAATTGTCTCAAGAGTTACAACAGGTTTATGGTGAACAGTCCATGAAGAAATCAAGTATTTTTGAATGGCATAGGATGTTTAACAACATGCTTACCGCGCTATAGCCGAATGATGGCTAAAGTGCGGTTGTCCAGTTCTGGGAGGGTGTCATATGACGTTCTCTAAGAACGCACCCTCCCACGCGCCCCCAGCAGCGCGCACCTGGCTATCTCCAGGATTGCTGTGTCGTACAGACACAGCTGATCATGTGATGAGGTAAAAGGCCAATCACAGCAGCCTTTTACCATGTGATGAGCTGTGTCCAATGACACAGCAGATCACGGAGTAAATACAGTTGCAGTTATCAGTAGCACGTTCCTCGTGCTGTCACAGCATGAGGAAAATACTGTTGATAACTGGCAGCTGTCACCGAGCAGATCGGCACTGCTCATCAGTGCCCTGATGATCAGTGCCACCCAGCAGTACCACCTTCCAGTTCCCACCTGTGCCCCTCGACAGTGCCGCAGTCAGTGCTGTCAGTCAGTGCCGTGAGTGCCACCTATAAGTGCCCATCATTGCTTCATATCAGTGCCTCCTCATCAATGCCCACCAGTGCTGCCTCATCAGTGCAGCCTATAAGTGCCCATCAGTGCTGCCAATCCATGCCACCTCATCAGTGCCCATCAGTGCAGCCTCATCAATGCACATCAGTGAAGGAGAAAAATTACCTGTTTGCAAAATTTTATAATAGAAACAAAGAAAAACTTTTTTTTCCCTCTTTTTTGTTTATAGAGCAAAAAATAAAACCCCCAGTAGTAATTAAATACCACCAAAAGAAAGCTCTATTTGTGTGAAAAAATGATACATGACTGCGCAATTGTCATTCAAAGTGTAAGAGTGCTAGAAAAATTGGCCTGGGCACGAAGTGGGTAAAAGTGCCCGGTAGACAGGTGGTTAAGGAGGGGCAGGAAGATGTCCAAGATAGAAGTGGGCAGCCAAAAACACAAAGGAAGGACAGTGTGAACCTTTGTACTCTCAGATCAAATAGTGAGTGTGTGAATGATGGCAGAAGAATTGAACAGGGAAACAGTGTGGCAGATCCTGAGGATTTGGGAATGAGAAAGATTTTTACGATGGTGACTCGAATCTTGACAGAAGACCAGAAACAACCTCATCTTCAAATTTCATCTGTTCTTTTGAAGAAAGCAGAGGTGTTTGATTTTTTTTTTTAAAGTGCATACCCTAAATTAAATTGTCTCACCTCACATGGCAGATGTTGGCATTTGAAGGTCAAAGGGACTGTATCGTTCCTCATCTCAGTGTATGTCTTGCAGGAAGGATAACAGGAGCTTACAAAGGGGAAAGAGGAAATTACACCATGCAAAGTGCAGGATACAAAGAAAGTGTGTGCAGTAAAAACAGTGACCACAGAGTGGCAGAATAACAGTAAAAATGAATGTCATTTTGTCTACCAACGTACATTTATAAATGTTATGTTACACAAGGGGTTAAATCAAGCTTACAGCTGTAGCACCAGCTGTGAAATTGATACTGCTTTAAGAGCTGGTGGAGGGATTTATGATAAGGGCCCTTTCACATGGGCGGATTCCACCAAGCGGATCCTCCTGCTCAGTGGGGGATCTGTCCACTGATCCCCTCTGAGCAGGCGGATGACAGATCCATGTCCGCTCCATTTGTGCAGAACGGACACAGCCTGCTGTTCTCTATGGAGCAGTCAGATGTAAACAGACTGCTTGTCCATTTACTGGATACAAAGAAAAACAAACAGAGGGTGCACCAGCCTAGTGCATTATTGTAAAACATTTTATTGGAAGGATAAAAAGTAAGTATCATTCTCACAGCCAACCAAACAAGACTAGACGACACCAATATGTCTGAACATGGAACTCTTTATTTGAAACTCAAACTGGCTTTTTATAAACTCAGTGGACAATCCCCCATTCCTGAATAATAACAGGGCGGGGCAATCTACACTTAGCAACAAGAGACACACAGGTATTCAAACTTCACACCAGCAGACAGTCCCATCAGGAGGGAGGGCTGCTGGAGAAACCCCCCCACTAAGCTAATACACATCAACACATACATCCCATAATAGTTTGCTCACAAGCAAGACACACAATAGAACAATCAGATGGCATTAAACAATCAACAACCCCCCACCCCAATATTAGTACAGATCACCCTGTACCCCTAACAGGCACAGGGTGACTTACACATAATAGGGATATGGGGAGCTGAGACAGGGGTCTCCCCACCTCTCTAAAGTGAGCTGGGTTCCATGGGCCCCCCACCCAAAGTGACTCCCATAACATTATACTAGCTAATTGATAACACGGGTGTTTCTCAGGACAAGGAACATAAGCACAGATGGACATACTGAATAGGGGAATAAGTGGTTATGTATTCATGCTCCTGAAAGCTGTGAGCTATTCTGAATATTGAAATTCCAGATACACTGATATGCAAGAAAAAGCATCAGAACAATATATTATGGAGCCTGCTGAACTCAAATAAAGTCCTGTTATCAATTTATTTAATTACTGTGAACTTCAAAGTGCAAATGATGCTTTGGAATCAGAAAGATAAAATAATAAATTATGACTAGAGATCACTTATGTATTGGGAATAGCTACGAAGAACAGAAGAGGTATGTATGGGCAGTGGGTCTAACATTAGTTCATCTTAACAGAGCATAAGCCTGCATCTGCTGAATAATTAATATATTAATACAAAAAAGCTTGCAGCAAATAGAGAACTGGTTCCTAACAACAAGCGTGAGGATCAGTATGCAGGCCATGCAGAATATGACAAGCCAGGAGGAAGCTGAAAGTCTTAGTGAAAATGAATATGTATAGATATTTGTTTTCCCTATTTCCATAGCCCCTGATATACATACTGCACTCATGTATGACATTAGAGAAGCATTAGGAAGGCACACGAGATTACATTAAATTGCATGAATCTATTAATTAGTATTTAGAATTCTTAAATAACTGGAGGGTGTTTTTGATTTGTGGTGGATTATGTGCTCTGTTTTCTAATTGAAGCCTTTTAATGACTGTTCTGTGTTTATTCTAGTGGTGGTACAGCAAAAA